TCACCTACAAGAATTGAACAGTTATATGAATAATTATTTAGTCTAAACAAAGATTTGAAAAATTTACTGGACTCCTTCCACCAAGGCTGATATAAAATATAGGGAAAGAACACCCACCAAGAAGGTCCAGAAGTAACATCAAATCCTCACACTGCTAAGAAAAAAGAAACAGATTCTCCCCATGGGGCTATCCTTGGACCCTGCTCAAAGCACCTTCTTTTGGATCAGCCTCCCCTCCTGTCTCCCAAAAGACCTTTTTTCAGACAACCAAAAACTCTTGGTTCTCCCTTCCACACACCCAGAGCATCTCGTCCACAACTCTTCTTCCCTCAGCCCCACAACTACAGCGAGGAATAGAACTTTACTATTACTTGCCTCAATCTGTTTTGGATCCTCCTCCCCTGTGAACAGTTCTTGTGCCTGCCTTAGACACTACTTGAAGCTTTCCTAAGCAGCAGCAGTTACACTGAAAATATAGCTTACCAGCATAGTGGGGGATTGTAGATGTGATGTATCTTGATTTTAATAAGGCTTTTGACAGTCCCACATACTCATAAGCCAACTATGGAAATGTATTACATTTGAAATTACTATAAAGTGGGTGTGAAATTGGTTGACAGATCATACTCAGCGAGTAATTATCAAGAGGTTGATGTGAAACTGGACAGGCTGCATGCAGTGGGGTTCAGGAAACATCCGTCTTGGGTCTGGTGCTATTCAATAATTTCATAAATGACTTGGATAATGGGGTAGAGAGTACGCTTATAAAAAACTGCGGATGACACCAGCTTGAGAGGGTTGCAAGCATTTTGGAAGACAGGATTAGAATTCAAAACTACCTTGACAAATTGGAGAATTGGTCTGAATTCAACCAGATGAAATTCAATAAAGACAAGTGCAATATACTACACTTAGGAGGGAAAAAAAATAAATGTACAATTATAAAATGACTGGTTAGGCAGTTGTACTTCTGAAAAGGGTTAAAATGGATCACAAATTGAACATGAGTCAAAAACATGATGCAGTTGTGAAAAAAGCTAATATCACTATGAGGTATATTAACAGGAATATTGTATGTAAGAAAAGGGAAGTAATTGTCCTGCTCTGCTCGGCGCTGGTGAGGCCTCACCTGGAATACTTTGTCCAGTTTTGGGTGCCACACTTTAAGATGTGGACAAATTGGAGAGAGTCCAGAGAAGAGATACAAAAATGATACAAGGTTAAAAAACTGGATATGTTTAATCTAGAGGGAAAAAAAGATATCAGGTCCCGCCTCAAAGTCTTCAAATATGTTAAGGTCTGTTACGAAGAGGACGGTGATCAATTGTTCTCCATGTCCACTGAAGGTAGGACAAGAAGTAATGGGCCTAATCTTCAGCAAAGGAAATTTAGGTTAGATATTAGGATAAACCTTGTAACTATAAGGATAGTTAAAAACTGGGTGAGGCTTCTAAGGGAGGTTGCAGAATCCCCATCACTGAAGGCTTCTGCAAACAGGTTGGACAAACACCTGTCAGGGATGGTCTAGGTTTACCTGGTCCTGCCTCAGAGCAGAGAACAGGACTAGATGACCTCTCAAGGTCCCTTCCAGCCCTACATTTCTATGATGTTAGCTTTTCTGCTCTCCAACATAGTTCTGAATAACAGTCATGAAAATGACCAGAGTCTTGTTAAATTTTACTGGTTGCTATTCTGGAAAACTCTGAGCAGGAGACACCCCAAAGTTGTCTCTATGCTGGCTCAAGAAAACAGCACTAAAAAAAATTACTATTTGGAAAGATATCTAAAGCAACCACTCCCCTCCCTTCAATTAGGAATTATCCATTTGGGCAGAATTTATGTGAGGAGAGAAGGGGAAGGAAGTGCATATACAACTCAAGTAGATTTTTGAACACCCCGAAAGAAGGGTAATAAAGTCATACACTTCAGCTTAAAAACTGACTAGTGGAAAGCGTCAGAAACAAATCCCTAACTCTAACCCCATATTAACAGGAAAGAACAACTGGCTAGCTGCTGTGCTTTGGAGGCTAGGATTAAAATTCAAAATGATCTGGACAAACTGGAGAAATGGTCTGAAGTAAACAGGATGAAATTCAATAAGGACAAATGCAAAGTACTCCACTTAGGAAGGAACAATCAGCTACACACATACAAAATGGGAAATGACTGCCTAGGAAGGAATACTGTGGAAAGGGATCTGGGGGTCATTGTGGACCACAAGCTAAAATATGAGTCTACAGTGTAACGCTGTGGCCAAAAAAAAAAAAACTAAACATGATTCTGGGATGTTTTAACAGGAGTGTTGTAAGCAAGACACAAGAAATAATTCTTCCGCTCTACTCCACGCTGATTAGGGCTCAGGAGACTGGAGCATTGTGTCCAGTTCAGGATGTCACATTTCAGGAAGGATGTAGACAAATTATAGAAAGTCCAGAGAAGAGCAACAAAAATGATTAAAGGTCTAGAGAACATGACCTATGAGGGAAGACTGAAAAAATTGGGTTGGATTAGTCTGGAAAAGAGAAGACAGAGGGGACATAACAGTTTTCAAGTATGTAAAAGGTTGTTACAAGGAGGAGGAGGAAAAATTGTTCTTCTTAACCTCTGAGGATAGGACAAGAAGCAATGGGCTTAAATTGCAGCAAGGGAGGTTTAGGCTGGACATTAGGAAAAACTTCCTGTCAGGGTGGTTAAGCACTGGAATAAATCACCTAGGGAGGCTGTGGAATCTCCATCATTGAAGATTTTTAAGAGCACATTAGATTAACACCTGTCAGGAATGGTCTAGATAATTAGTCCTGCCATGAGTACAGGGGACTGGACTAGATGATCTCTCAAGTCCCTTCCACTTCTATGATTCTATGATTGTGGTGGTTATTTTTGACTTCTTCTGAAAGTTAGGGCCACCATTATAAATAGAATACTGGACCACAAGTCTGATCCAGTTAACAAATCTAATGTTCTTACCCTAATTCAGAAAATCTTTAATAATGCCCCAGACTTCAGATGACCAGCTGAAAGATCCTTGACTGTGTTGTTGCCTCCCCTTTCCCTGCCTATGGAGCTTCTTTGGGAAAATTATTTTCCCTTTGATCTCCAGCTTTCTCAGCACCATTGTTTTTGGAGAAATTGAATGTTTTACTACAATTTAATGACAATTAATAAAGTCCAACTAAAAATCACAGATTCCAGGCACTCATTTTCAAGGAGTACAGGAAGAAAGAGGAAAAAGCAACCCCTTAGCTTTTAGACAATACAATTACTGGGCTAGAAAATATATACAGTACAAAGAATAACATTTTTAAAGTTCACTTTAAAAAATAAAGACACCCTCTTTCTATCTGAGGAGGTATTCACATTGTGAATGTACTTGTTTACAATATGTTGTCTCCCAGAAAAATTGGGAGACAAACTATACTTGTATTACAGCACAGAGTGGGCCCCACTAAGGATAGGCCTGTGTGGCCCCACAGAAACTCCTGCAAAGTTCACAGGCACTCAGATCAGGAATTTCTATCTAGACCCAACTATACTCCCTACAAAAGGAGAGTCTAGAAACACAGCCTCATGAAAGGGTAATTAACAAAGTGAGCAAACAATAGAGAAAACTTTAGTACCTCCTACTGAAAGGAAGTGACAAGTATCCTAGAAGCTGTTTTACTACTAATTGCCTAACTAAGTCAGAAAAAACAACTCTCAGGCCAACCACCCGTGCTCATCTATAACGTCCCCTTCTTTAGGGCAGAAGTCTAAAACCCCAACACCTGAAATGGACATAACCCTCTTGCCAGCTTCCGCGGCAGGAAAGTAATCATAGTCTTTCCTTTGAGGGACTGAATCTGCTCTCTCCAGCTGGCTGAATCTGAGAGCTGGGGAAAGCCAGGCTCCTCCCAAAACGAAGAAAAGAGACTTCGCTGTTTGACTTGACATCAAGGCTCCCAGGGTAACAGAAAAGCAACAGGCGCGATCCTCCCCACCAACTAGGTAGGACACACCGCGTACAGCCCACCCTCGGCTCCCGCTGGCCCCTCATCCGCGCTCTTCCAGCCGGGACGCGCTCCCCTTTGGACGCTGCAGCAGGAAACAAGGGGCCACGTCCAGCCCCGGCCACCCGGGAGCCTCCCAAGAAGCAACAAACAAACAAACAACGGCCAGTCCCGGGAGAGGAACCGGGCTCCCAGCACATGGCAAAGCCCGCAGTGGAGACGAGACCCCCGAGGACCCCGGAGGGGGGAGGGGCCGGGATCCCGGGGTCCCCCCCCCCACGCACGCACCAGCTCCCCCACCCCGCCTCCCCGCTCAGCGGTAGCAACTTCGGGGCAGTTTCTACCCCCTGCCCGCATGCGGGGGGGGGCGGGGGCTGCAGCGGCCGCGCGACTCACCCCCAGATGACATAGTTGGTCTTGACGTTCTTGGGCCAGGAGAACTCGCCGAAGATCACTTCGTCCCCCTTCACCACGATCTCCTTCTTCTGCGTGTTGTACTGCCGCAGCACGCTCAGCACGTCCGCCATCTTCGCGCCGGGCCGCCGCCGCCGCCGCTCCGCCCGGCCCGGCCCGCTCGGCCCCCACCGCCAGCCGCGTGAGGACCCCGCCGCCAGCCGCTAGGGCCCCGCCGGGCTGCCCGTGCCGAACGCCTGCGCGCTGTCGCCTGGGGGAGCCGCCCACACCGCCTGCCTCACCTATGTGCCCCTCGCCGCCTCTGCCTCATCTCCGTGCTTCTGCCCCTCCCTCGCCCCCAGTCCGCCTGGCTAAGGTGGCCCTACACGTCCGGCTTTGGCCGGGACAGTCCCCCTTTTTAAGCCCTGTCCCGGCTGTCCTGACTTTTTTGGCCAAACTGAGCCCTTGTCCCGTCTTCTCTTACCAGGTGCAAGTTGCTCTGACCAGTGGGAAGAGCAAATGGCACGTGTCCAGTTTTGTCAAAATAATGGGTTGGTTGCGCCCCTTTACGGGGGGTCACAGAGGGATGGGGGGGGGCTGCGGGGCTCGGGCTGTCAGCCCTGGTTGGGGCTCAGGCGGCCTGGTGCTCGGGCAGTCAGTCCCACCCCAGTGCTGGGCAGCGCAAGGCTCGGGCCGTCAGCCCGGAGCAGGGCTTGGGTGGTCAACCCCAGTCCTGGGTAGTGCAGGGCTCAGGTGAGCAGCAACACCAGGTGGCTTGGGCCGGGTCGGGGGCTCAGGCAAGCAGTCATGGCAGGCAGCTCAGGCCTGTCCCACGTGGTGTCCCTATTTTACTTTGGTAAATATGGTCACCCTACCCCTGTCCCTAACCCCCAAGGCCGAGTGCTGCCCTCCCTCTGCCCCTTCCCCTCCCTGCTGCCTTTTATCCTCGGTATTGCCAACCCCAAATGTTCAAAGATCATGAGTCACACTCACAAAAAATCCTGAGCATGGCTTTAAAATCACAAGATTTTGTAAAAAATAATAGATTTTTATTTGCCTTCAACGTTTGGAGCCTTTAGGGTGCATTGTGGTCACTTTTGAAGCTTTCTCCACAGTCACAAGGGCTAGAAACTTACTTTTTCTTTAAGAATGAAGGCTGGAAACATCACATATCTACTTGACTCCAGGAGCTGGGGTTTGAAGGAGAACAGTAATTATCACAAGACTCATGACAAAATCATGAGAGATGGCAACACTGCACTCAGCCCCACAGGCCTGCGTAGGGTTACCAATTTCAAATGTAAAAAAAATGGTACTCCACCACCACCACCACAAGGCAATGCTGCCACAGCCCTAACCCCAAGGCAACTCCGCAACCCATCCCCCTTCAAAAGCCACTTATGCAGAGAGATAACACATATAGATAAGATTGATAATACCATTAATAACAAACAGATATTTGTTTTATCAGCACATTTTGCCAGCCAGCTTTTGTAGTCTGTTTCATTTAGCCAGTTCTCTTGCAGTTTCTGATGCAAGCTTTTATTTTCGGAGGTGCAGTAGAATCACATGCACCATCACCCTGATCTTCCATTATTTAATATGCCTTGCATGTCTTCTCACTCTCACCTTCTCACATGACTAAAACTGTCTTTCACACACATGAGCAGTGCGCTTGTGTGTTGGTGGGCAGACAGCTGCTGTATTTTCAACAGTTTTGATCGATTATTGCTTAAACTGCAGAAGTGGGAACACTGCACATCTTTAGCTGGACACAGAAACTTTTAACATTAGATATCCCAGTGTACTGTGATAATAATGCAAATCTTTAGATCCACATAAATAAACTGGCAGATTAAATTGTTTTTCTGGCAACTGGCAAATCCACTAAAAAATGGCAAGGCTGGTCAAATACCAGCCAGGTGGTAATCCTTGTCCTGCAGGAGGGGGGCAGCCATTCCCTGCAACCTGGGAGCCAGTCTTGGGTTTACACAAGGTTGCTCTTAGTCTGTCCAGCCAGGCACCAGCCAGCACCAAGCTGTAAGCCCAGCTGCCGCCTGGGGAGCGCATTAATCTTGTGTTATAGAAGAGCTGTACATGTAGAGAGAGACCGGTGGAACGTGGTCCCTTTTATTGGACCGACTTTTGTTGCGGAGAGAGACAAGCTTTTCAGGCCTGGTGTATTTGATCGCCTGCCCTTGAGTTCCCAACAAGTTAATAATACAGGCCTTGGTGTCATCAATGGTGGGCCCGGGGCTCACGGAATTACAGCAACTAGCATGGACTTTTAAGATTCTAAGGCCCCTTTTCTGAACCTCTAATAGGCCCTTATAAAGTATCTGTTGTGAGGGTATATCCTGAGAGCATACATGCACATAGGGTTGTCAACTTTGTTATATTTAAAAACAGAACACTCCAGCAGGAGTGCCTGAACCTCCCCTTCCTCACCCCTTCCCCCTGAGGACCTGTCCCTGCCCCATCCCTTCCGCCCAGGCCTCACTCCTGCCCCGTCTCTTCCCCTGAGGTCCTGCTCCTGCCCTGTGCCTTTCCCCTGAGGCCCCCCCCATCCTCTTTCCCCTTCCTTCTGTCGCTCACTGCTTTTTCCGCTCTCCCCCCTTCCCTGCATGGGTCAGGAGGGACTCGCCTGCCAAACTGAGGCTGGGAGCTGCAGCAACCCGATGCAGATAGGTGGTGGCCCTGGCTGAGTAGAGGCTGGCGCGGGTGATGACTCAGCGTGTCTCTGCCTCCCCTGCCCACAGCAGCTGGACTTTGAGTGTCCAGTCAATAGAGCTGACTGGACACTGTCAGGTCCCCTTTTTGACCAGACTTTCTGGTCAAAAACAGGATACCTGGCCACCATATGATGCACACCACGCACCCCCTAACTCATGCATCTGGTGTACATTGTATCCCTGCTTGTATTGCTTAGGACCAGGGCCTTGTCTGGTGTATTGCAAACGTCCCTAGGTGCACACCACAGTCATGAGGTAACTGTGTTCTACCAGTACAGGACTACAAATCATGAACTGCAGCTCCAGAAATACAGGCCTGAACCCAGAAAGCTGAATGAACTAATTAGAGGCCATATCTACACTACAGGCGCTACAGCAGCAGAGCTACAATGCTGTAGCTATGCGGCATGTAGCACCATACTGTAGACATACACTACAGCAGCATCAAGAGTTTTCCATTGTTGTAGTAACTCCATCTCCCCGAGTGATGCTGACAGAAGCATTCTTCCACTGAGCTAGCCAGCCTACATCTGGGGATTGATTAGGCTGCCATAGCTGCAGCACTCAGAGGTGTGGATTTTTCCCACCCAAGTACCACGGCTAGGTCAACCTAAATTTTGAGTATAGACCAGGCTTCACTCCAGTAAAGGGAAGTAATTGTCTGTCTACACTACGAAATTAGTCAATTTTATAGAAGTCGATTTTTATAAATCAATTTTATACAGTCGATTGCGTATGTCCACACTAAGCCCATTAAGTTGGCTGAGTGCGTCCTCACTACCATGGCTAGCATCGACTTACAGAACGGTGCACTGTGGGTAGCTATCCCTCAGTTCCCGCAGTCTCCGCCGCCCATTGGAATTCTGGGTTAAGTTCCCAATGCCTGATGGGGCAAAAACATTGTCACGGGTGATTTTAGGTACATGTCGTCAGTCGCCCCTCCCTCCGTGAAAGCAATGGCAGACAATTGTTTCACTCCTTTTTTCCGCGCAGAAGCCATACCACTGCAAGCATGCAGCCCGCTCAGCTCAGCTCACCGACACCGCCGCTATTGTGTTCTGGGTGCTGCTGGCAACAGACTGCTAAGTGTCATCATACACCACTTCCGGTGCAACTCTACTCTGCTGCTATTATCTCAATAGCGAATTTCTCCATGTTGTCTGTCGTGGGCTCCCGGGTATGTGTGTTCTTCCTCGGGAAATATGTGTGGTGCTAACTGTTGTCCTCCACTGCTTCCGCTGCAACTCTGCTCTCCTGCGCTCATGAAGCCACCTCTCAAGTCCTCTCGTCGTTCCCTATAAATATCTATTCTTGTGGCATCTGTCGTCAGTCACCACTTCCACTGCAACTCTGCTGTCCTGCAGACGCCATACCACGGCAAGCATGAAGCCCACTCAGATCACCACGGCAGTTATGAGCATTGTAAATACCTCGCGCATTATCCTGCAGTATGTGCAGAACCAGAACCTACAAAAGCAGGTGAGGAGGCAACAGCAGCACGGTGACGAGAGTGATGAGGACATGGACACAGACTTCTCTCAAAGCACGGGCCCTGGCAATTTGGACATCCTGGTGGCAATGGAGCAGGCTCATGCCCTGGAATGCCGATTCTGGGCCCAGGAAACAAGCACAGATTGGTGGGACCGCATAGTGTTGCAGGTCTGGGATGATTCCCAGTGGCTGCAAAACTTTTGCATGCATAAGGGCACTTTCATGGAACTTTGTGACTTGCTTTCCCCTGCCCTGAAGCACAAGAATACCAAGATGAGAGCAGCCCTCACAGTTCACAAGCGAATGACATTAGCCTTCTGGAAGCTTGCAATGCCAGACAGCTACCAGTCAGTCAGGAATCAATTTGGAGTGGGCAAATCTACTGTGGGGGCTGCTGTGATCCAAGTAGCCAACACAATCTCTGAGCTGCTGTTATCAAGTGTAGTGACTCTGAGAAATGTGCAGGTCATAGTGGCTGGCTTTGCTGCAATGGGATTCCCTAACTGTGGTGGGGCGATAGACGGAATGCATATCTCTATCCTGGGACCGGACCACCTTGGCAGCCAGTACATAAACCGCAAGGGGTACTTTTCAATGGTGCTGCAAGCACTGGTGGATCAGAAGGGATGTTTCACTGACATCAACATGGGATGGCCGGGAAAGGTACATGACACTCACATCTTCAGGAACTCCGGTCTGTTTGAACAGCTGCAGGAAGGGATTTACTTCCCAGACCAGAAAATAACTGTTGGGGATGTTGAAATGCCTATAGTTATCCTTGGGGACCCAGCCTACCCCTTAATGCCATGGCTCTTGAAGCCATACACAGGCACCCTGGGCAGTAGCAAGGAGCTGTTCAACTATAGGCTGAGCAAGTGCAGAATGCTGGTAGAATGTGCATTTGGACATTGAAAAGCATGCTGGCGCAGTTTACTGACTCAGTTCGAGCTCAGCAAAACCAATGTTCCCATTGTTACTGCTGCTTGCTGTGTGCTCCACAATCTCTGTGAGAGTAAGGGGGAGATGTTTATGGCAGGGTGGGAGGTTGAGGAAGTTCGCCTGGCTGCTGGTTACGTGCAGCAGACACCAGGGTGATTAGAAGAGCACAACAGGGCACGCTGCGCATCAGAGAAGCTTTCAAAACCAGTTTCATAACTGGCCAGGCTATGGTGTGACAGTTCTGTTTGTTTCTCCTTGATGAAAACCCACCCCCTTGGTTCACTCTACTTCCCTGAAAGCCAACCACCCTCCCCACTTCAATCACTGTTTGCAGAGGCAATAAAGTCATTGTTGTTTCAAAATCATGCATTCTTTATTAATTCATCACACAAATAGGGGGATAATTGCCAAGATAGCCCAGGAGGGATGGGAGAGGAGGGAAGCACCAGTTGGGGTGGTGGATGAGGGGAGGAGAGAAGGACAAGGCCACACTGCACTTCAAAACTTATTGAATGCCAGCCTTCTGTTGCTTAGGCAGTCCTCTGGGTTGGAGTGGTTGGGTGCCCAGAGCGCCCCCTCACCCACCGTGTTCTTGGGCATCTGGGTGTAGAGGCTATGGAACTTGGGGAGGAGGGCGGGCGGTTACACAGGGGCTGCAGTGGCAGTCTGTGCTCCTGCTGCCTTTCCTGCAGCTCCACCAGAGCTCGAGCATGTCAGTTTGATCCCCCAGGAGCCTCAGCATTGCATCCTGCCTCCTCTCATCGCACTGCCACCACCTCTCATCTTGCTCCCACCACCTCTCATCTCACTTGTCCCTCCTGTCCTCGCGTTCATTCTCTGCTTTCCTGGACTCTGACATTGTTTGCCTCCATGCATTCTGCTGAGCTCTTTCTGTGCGGGAGGACTGCATGAGCTCAGAGACCATTTAATCGCAAGTGCATTTTTTTCGCCTTCTTATCTGCGCTAGCCTCTGGGACGGAGATGATGAGGGAGTGTTGAAAGATTTGCAGCTGCAGAAGGAAAAAAAGGGAGAGTAGTATTTAAAAAGACACATTTTAGAGAACAATGGGTATACTCTTTCACAGTGAACCAAGCTGTTAACATTACATAGCACATATGCTTTCAGTACAAGGTTGCATTTTGCCTCTTATATTGAGGGCCTGCTGGTTTGGTGGGAGAGATCACACACGCAGGGCCGGGCAACAGAATTCGGCTTGCAGGCAGCCATGGTAAGCCACAGTCCTTTGGTTTCTTCAACCTTCATAACATGTGGGAATGGTTTCAAACAGCAGCTCCCCCCTTTCCCATACCAAGCACCCGTTGGGTTGGCCATTTAAAAGGAGGGGCTGTGGTTTTCGGGTTAACGTGCAACACAAACCCAACTAAACCACACCCAATTCTCTGGGATGATCACTCTCCTGAGGATAACACAGAGAGATAAAGAACGGATGTTGCTTGAATGCCACCAAACACTGGGACCATACGCTGCCATGCTTTGTTATGCAATGATTCCAGACTACGTGCTACTGGCCTGGCATGGTAAAGTGTCCTACCATGGAGGACGGAATAAGGCTGCCCTCCCCAGAAACCTTTTGCAAAGGCTCTGGGCATACCTCCAGGAGAGCTTCATGGAGATGACCCTGGAGGATTTCCACTCCATCCCCAGACACGTTAACAGACTTTTCCAGTAACTGTACTGGCTGTGAATGCATCCCAAGTCTTCAGGGCAAATTAATCATTAATCACGCTTGCTTTTAAACCATGTATTATATTTACAAAGGTACACTCACCAGAGGTGCCTTCTCTGGCTTCATGGTCTGGGAGCCCACCTTGGGAGAGTTGGAAGGGTATTGGCTCCAGGGTGATAAACAGTTCCTGGCTGTCGGGAAGAACGGTTTCTCCGCTTGCCTGCTGTGCACTATCCTCCTCCTCCTCATCCCCAAAATCCTCATCCCTGTTGCATGAGACTCCCCCCTTGCAGGTGTCCATGGACAGGGGTGGGGTAGTGGTAGGACCCCCCCACCCCCCCCAGAATTGCATGCAACTCATCATAGAAGCGGTGTGTCTGGGGCTCTGACCCAGAGTGGCCATTTGCCTCTTTGGTAGGCTTGCCTGAGCTCCTTAATTTTTACGCAACACTGCTGTGGGTCTCTGTTGGAGCCTCTGTCCATCATGCCCTTGGTGATTTTTGCAAATCTTTTGCTTTTCGTCTTTTGGAACGGAGTTCTGATAGCATGGATTCATGTCCCCATACAGCGATCAGATCCAGTACCTCCTGTTCGGTCCATGCTGGAGCTCTTTTGCGATTCTGGGACTGCATGGTCACCTGTGCTGATGAGCTCGCCGCACTGGCCAAACAGGAAATGAAATTCAAAAGTTCCCAGGGCTTTTCCTGTGTACCTGGCTAGTGCATCTGAGTTGAAAGTGCTGTCCAGAGCAGTCACAATGGAGCACTCTGGGATAGCTCCCGGAGGCCAGTACCGTCGAATTGCGTCCACACTACCCCAACTTCGACCCGGTGATGTTGATTTCAGCGCTAATCCCCTCGTCAGGGAGGAGTACAGAAATTGATTTTGAGAGCCCTTTAATGGCTTTGTCGTGTGGACGGGTGCAGGGTTAAATCTATCTAACGCTGCTAAATTGGACCTAAACTCGCAGTGTAGACCACGGCTCAGCTAGCAAATTACTGGTCAATCACTATGAGGAATTGACATTCTATCCCGTAGAGGGCAGTAGTGCACATGCTCAAGCCACTATATAGAAAGTATCACATAGTTCACAAATATGGTTACATAAATTTGGATTGGGTCATGTCTCACTGGGTTGATAATCTGGTACATTTTCTACAACCTACCATCTCATAGTCGATTGTGCAAACCATTATCCAACTTCAGAAAAATAAGCTTTCATTTTAAATAAATTAGTGGCCTGATTTTCAAAGCACCAGTGTCTCCCATTTAAGTTTATGGAAGCTATGGGTGTCCAAAATTATCTAGACTTTATAGTTGAGAAGACATCCTTCAAAATGTGAACCAATGTCTACATGAGTCTTTAGTGCTACAGAGAGCACCAAACAATCTCTGAGGCCTTGTCTACACTACAGGGGAAATTCAATCTAAGCTATGCAATTTGAATTATGTTAATAGCATAACTCAAATCGGCATAGCTTAGATCTACTTACTGCAGGGTCCACACCACGTGATGTCAACGGGAGACGCTCTCCCGTCGACTCCAACTACTCTTCTCAATCTGGTGGAATACAGGAGTCGAGGGGAGAGTGATCTGCAGTCGATTTAGCGGGTCTTCACTAGACCCGCTAAATTGACTCCCGATGCATCGATTGCCGCACGTCAATCCCCCGGTAAGTATAGACAAGCCCTGAGAGATGTGAACTGCCCCATGCATAATGACTGTGTAATATTACTGTGCATCACCAAATGGCATCATTACAGATAGTTTTACAAATTCTGTTAAACTACGAAGGACTGTATAATATTCTGAAGAAATGCTGATTGTTAACTATGGTGTAGTTCTTTTTATTGGGAGCTGTTCATGTTAGACAAGATTTTCAAAAGTGACCAATAATTTTGGGTATATCAATGGAGACACTCCAGAAAGAGGCCCGATTTTCAGAGCATGGGGCCTGACAAAATTCTAAAAAAGTCAAAAGAAAAGGAGTACTAGTGGCACCTTAGAGACTAACCAATTTATTTGAGCATTCGATGAAGTGAGCTGTAGCTCATGAAAGCTTATGCTCAAATAAATTGGTTAGTCTCTAAGGTGCCATTAGTACTCCTTTTCTTTTTGCGAATACAGACTAACATGGCTGCTACTCTGAAACCTAAAAAAGTCAGGCCCCTTTAAGGTGTTTCAAGCTGGGCACTCAAAAACTGATTTTCTTAAAATCATTAGTTACTTTTTAAAATTTGGCCATTACCAATAAAGTGGGTTCTTTCTGACGTAGTCTATCTGACTGGAATCACCATGTGTAATAAGGACAGGTATTGCTGCTTAGACAATGGCAGCGTTCCAATAAATCCTTAGATTTTTGTAAGCAAGTATTACAAAATCCACACAAGCAAGCAAAACTGGATGTTGTCAAAACCTTATAAGAAACTTAATGGTAATTTAATGTCAATATTGCTCTTTCACTGCTGATCAAAGCACACACAAAAGATGGATGATCATATGCTGATTTACACCATCGATTGAGCAGCATCTCATTTATACATCACAAGTACATAGTTTGGGCTGTGAATAGAGCCTGGTGTAGCATACTTGCCATTAACTATATTGTCGTACTGCAACAACCTACAATTTTTTTAAAAAAAATTGTTGTTCACAATGACTGAACTATTAGTTTGCTAGTTATAGTGCTTAATGAGATGTCCCAGTGTTAGAACCACTTTGGGAGACAAGTACAAATGCTTTTGGAACCTCTATGTATTTCCAAGCACTGATCCTGGATTAGAGAGTGTGGTGTATTGACAACTGCATTAAAATTATGATCTGTCACTTTAAATGCTCAGGGCGGTTTCCTGGTCCTGCTTGCAGACGAAGGAGCTCTGTAAGGAAGTGTAGGATTTGGGCCAAGCAGACTCAATTTGAAGACCAGCAGCCTAGAAAGAAGAGTAAGATGAGATGAGTTGTGCCTCTCTGTCTTAAGGAACAACCTGCTTTCTCTGTGTGTGTGTTTGGGGGTTCTTATGTATTATTCTGAATTGTAACAAATAAAATGGTGTAATGTTGCAACTGTAGGGACCAGGCTGTGGGTAGTCTAAGGGTTAGAGTCAGGAGTCTGGAACCAGCGCTGGGGTCAGCGTCAGGTGCCAAGCCAAAGGTCAGAACCGAAGTCAGAGTCTGGAGTCAAGCCAAGAGTCAGGAGTCAAGCCTAGGGTCAGAGTCAGTGTTAGGGGTTCGGCATAAAAGTAGGGACCTGGAGCGAGGCAGGAAACAGGAACTGAGAACAGACGGGGGTCTGGAACAAGGAGGGCAGGAACAGGAAGGGAGGCAGGAAACAGAAGTCAGACAAGTAGGTAGGGCCTGTAGTAGTAGCCAGCCAGGAATTCATCTAGTTGCTCAGACAACTTCCTGTACTTCTTTCTGGCTTAAGTTGTGTGCCCAGCCAATTGGTGGGGCTGGACATCTCCCCCAGTGGATGAGATTCTTTGTGAACTAAAGCTTTGCTAGCCCCGGCTTCTCCAGCCATTTGGTGAGCTGCGGCGGCCACATTCTGAGCACTGCCTGGGGACTTGTGGGCCCATGTTCAAGGCTTACCATCCTCCACAACAACCTTCCAGCAAGAGTAGCTTATGCTTTTATCTAACTTGTGTATGTATGTCACAAATGTAACAGAGATCAGAAAATGTTTTGAGACCTGGATAGAAGGCGAAAAGTGGGACAAATTTGAGGCTTAGCAAGCTTCTTGGCACTGTCCCTTTAAAATTAAAGGTGGCATCAATAACAGTAAAACACATCACAACTAATGTAGTACAAAACAAAATGCTAACAAGTCAAATACCACAGCATCATTATAGTAGTGGGAGAAGAATTAATATTTATTTTCTCTTGGTATCTGAAAACAAACCATAATAACAACAGTAACAAAACTTCAAGCAAACATCACAATCACGCATTTACTGCCACTACTTTAAAAAAAAATCATGTTATCATGTTTCACTTGTTACATTGGGTTTGAATCTTGGGGACATTAAACAGTTGAAGTGGTAGCAGATCTCCTCTGGCACATTTATCTGTTTTCTCATGATCGCAGAGTACAGTTTCTTCCATTCAAGTCTATACACACTGGAAATCCTTTATGTTTTAGTGACACCTGAAAGTGAGATTCTGTCACCTCCTCAGGAATAATATAACACTGAATTGTTAGGCCTACAGGACAGTTCAACAGCTGACATTCAAATCCTGGATGCTTTGAGGGTCCTTAACATTTTTCAAGACCAGCAGGAACAAAATGAGAGACTCACAGAATTCATGTTCTTCAAAGTAGAACACCATGAGCATGGTGAGATGCAGAGAAACAGGCAATCTTTCACAGCATTTCCTGTTCTGAGATGCTAGAAATATTATCATTCATCTTATAACAAAAAACTATGCAACATTTAATATATATTACATATACATATCATGAATCACACATATTATATCATAATGTAACATATGAATGAATATACTATGATACAGTGTTTCTCAACCAGGGGTCCAGGGCCCGCTTGGGGGCTGCAAGCCATTTTCAGGGGGTCCGTCAAGCAGGGCTAGCATTAGACTTGCTGGGGCCCAGGGCAGAAAGATGAAGCCCCACCTCATGGGGCTGAAGCCCAGGGCCCCGAGCCCCACCACCCGGGGCTGACGCTGAAGCCTGGGCAACTGGCAATTGCCCTGACTGCTACCCCCTAACGCTGGCCCTGGCTTTTATATGCAGAAACACAGTTGTTGTGGCACAGGTGGGCCGTGGAGTTTTTATAGCATGTTGGGGGGGGCCTCAGGAAGAACACAGCTGAGAAACCCTGCTGCAATACACAGTAATATAATTAATTACATTATCTACCAAAATGCTATCAACTCTGAAGTACACTGCAGCAAAAGTTTAACTTGCATAATGCAACAGTGCACAACTATTTAGGAGGTGAAGAACTAACATTAAGGATAATTTTAGGTAGGCAGAATTTAATTGCCCAAATTGGAATTTGCTCATGTCACTGGAGCTAAAACCCCTTCTCTTGCAAAAAACTGCAATGGAGCTTTTAGTGTATGCAAATGGCCAGGACCTTAATTTTATGTCCCATCCAAAAGACAGTACTTTTTAAAACACAATGGCTTCAAACTGTTTGTTACATGCCATGCAGGCTCACACATAGATTTGCCAGTACAAAGTACACTTAGAATATACGTAGATCTGTATGGCACATCTTTAGTCTGTTTGTACAATCTTCCTTTATCCACTTTTCACAATCATCATAGTTCTGATGAATAAAAAAGTACTATATATACGCATTCATTATAAGCCGACCCCCCAAAATGGGTAGGTAAAAATGGCAAAAACTGTATGACCCTTTCATAAGCCGACCCTATATTTCAGGGGTCGGCAAACTTCGGCTCCCGGCCCACCAGGGTAAGCCACTGGCGGGCTGGGACGTTTACCTAACAAAATGTCCCGGCCCGCCAGCGGCTTACCCTGACAGGCCAGGAGCCAAAGTTTGCCGACCCCTGTTGTAGACCACTGATGATGGAACGTCAATTCTGGATTTGCTTCTTTACAAATGTTCTAAAATTTTATTTTTACTTAAATTGTATATTTGTTATGTTATAATTGAGATAAAAGAAGTATTAATATAAATAAAACATTGGATATCGATTATATAATTTTTCTCAGTTCATGTCCATGTAAATAAAGAACTTAAAACATGTGCTTCCGTAAAGTTCAATTTTCCTAGTACTAGCTGTTTACTTTTCTTAGTATTGTTCTACTACAGGACTATATTATAATTATTTTTATAGCGCGTACTTATATTGATCGTCAAATAATTTATTGATGTCAATATTGCAGCTGTTTAAAGTTGCAAAGGCTTTGTTTCGTGGACTAGATTGGCTTGAAATGAATGCTAAAAGAGCAGTGCTACAGATCTGCATGACATTTGACCCATGCATTTCACAAAATGCTTCACCTTACAAGCCAATCAGAAAAACACAATGAATGATAGTACTATGGCACTGGTGTCAGTCCATTACTCTGTAATTTGATCTCTTCATGTATTTCTACCAATGGTACTTGTAAGTTTCGAGCCAATCTGAAAATATAATGTGCAGAATCGATGGAATCTGTAATAAAATTTAAATAGCCTGTTATCGTGACAGACGTGCCAATCTACAGGGCTGCTTTGAAATAAACAAAGAACAATAATAATTTGACAGTGATAAAGCAGGTGACATTCCTATATAAAGTCCTACAAAATCTATAACTAAATTATTATTTTCTAAGATTTTCATACTAGTATTTAAAATGAACGATGAAATCAAAAGAAAATGGTCTGCTTATAATGCAGCTTTCAAACTTAAAGTTGTTGAATATGCAGAAGCAAACAATAATTGCACTGCTGCTCGTGAATTCTGTATCAATGAGAAGCAAATAAGAGAATGGCAAAAAAATAAAACAACACTAAAAGACATGCTAAGAAGCAAGAAAAAATGTCCAACGAGGTGCGCTTCATTTCCTGAGATGGAGAAAGATCTCAATGATTGGGTTGTTGAACGTCGACAAAATGGGTACGTCGTCACTAGAACTGGAATTCGTCTGTGTGCTCTGCAAATGTTGAAAGACAACAAATACAAGTCAGTAAAGCTGTCAATATTTGTCACATCAGCAGCTTGATGTACTCGCTTCAAGAACCGTCATGGTCTCTGTCTTTGTCAGCAAACAAAGATAGTGCAAAAGCTGCTGAGAGATTTGGAAGAAAAAAATCGAATCTTTCCAAAGGCTTATTATAGAACATTGAAAGTAATATGCATTTGAGCTGTCACAAATAGGAAATATGGATGAATCACCGATAACATTCTATCTCCTGAGCAACAGAACAGTAACTGGTGTTGGTGAAAAAACAAGTTTTAATTAAAACCACTGGCCATGAACAAATCAATTTTATGGTGGTTTTATTGTGTTTGGTAAATGGATCAAAGCTCCATCCTGTTGTTATTTTTAAAAGAAAAACCTTGCCTAAAAACATGGAATTTCCTGCTGGTGTCTTCGTACGTGCACACAAAAATGGATGGATGGATGAAAGTGGGATTGAATGGCTGGAAAAGCGTGGAATAAGAGACCAGGAACACTTTTCAAGAAACCTGCTATGCTCATTTGGGACATGTTCAGAGCACACAAGACAGATGAGGTGAAAAATGTGGCCAAAAAAATGAAAACTACTTTGGCTGCAATACCTGGAGGCTTAACTTCTGTTCTACAACCGCTTGATGTGTGCCTGAACAAACCCTTTAAAGACAGGCTACACAAAATGTGGTCTGAATGGATGTGGTTAGGCATGGTGAAGTTGACAAAAGGCGGGAATCCTATGAAGCCCGAAATCAATCTAGTGGCCCAATGGGTCAAGGATGCGTGGGAGTCCATTTCCTCGGAAATGATAGAAAAATCATTTAGGAAATGCTGTATCAGCAATGCGCTCGACAGGTCAGAAGACGATGCCATATTTGATGACGACACAATAGAGGCTGATGATGAGAAGGAATCTGAGGCTGAAGATGACACTGCCGACATCTATGATGAAAATGCCGGTGCAGCTGTCACTGAAGCCGAGTTTAATTAACTGTTTGGTGAATCGGAGACTGATTCGGACTTTGAAGGATTTTAAGATTTTTAAATAAGTACCTTAGACCAATATGAGACTTTAAAATCAGTAAATGGATATTTAAAACATTGACTGTAATTTTGAAGGTGAATACATATTTGTTCAGTTATTATTATAAGGACAACAGGTTTTTTGTTAGAATACATTAAAATAATTCTAGTGTTAGTACGAGAGACTGCTGAATTGGAATTAATTTGCAAACTGGATACAATTAACTTAGGCTTGAATAGAGACTGGGAGTAGATGTGTCATTACACAAAGTAAAACTATTTCCCCATGTTTATTTCCCCCACTCCCCACTGTTCCTCAGACGTTCCTGTTAACTGCTGGAAATGGCCCACCTTGATTATCACTACAAAAGATTTTCTCCCCCCTTTCCCCCCCCGCTCTCCTGCTGGTAATAGCTCATCTTAAGTGATCACTCTCCTTACAGTGTGTATGATAACACCCATTTTTTCATGTTCTGTGTGTATATAAATCTCCTCACTATATTTTCCACTGAATGCATCTGATTAAGTGAGCTGTAGCTCATGAAAGCTTATGCTCAAATAAATTGGTTAGTCTCTAAGGTGCCACTAGTACTCCTTTTCTTTTTTTAAAACAAAGATGTACTGGTCAGACAACATGGACTCAAGTGCCACCAATAGGCAGATGACACACCTACCTATCCTTTACCATATATGACCACACCACTGCCAACAAGCTGGCCCAGTCTTGAATGAGATCAGCTCATGGATGAACAGCAGGGAGAAGTTTAGCTGAACCTGAGCAAGAGAGAGAGAGAGGATGCTGGTGGCCAGAGGAAAGCCCTTTGAAAAGTTTGCAAACACAATGCAGTCTCCTTTGGCTGAAGGTACACACCCAAAATTGCTCAATTCAGTCTGTAGTTAAGAAGTAATCTTGGATTTCTTGCTGATGCTAAGCTCTCACACAGAAGTATCTGAGAGTGACTCATTCTATCATCTCCAATTGCTAGAAGATGATGTCCCATGTTGGTCAATGATGACCTGGCCTCAGTTATTCATTCCTTCATCAGCTGAACTACAGAATGTGATATACCTGGACATGAAGTCTTCAGCACTCAGGAAACTCCAACTAGTATACACCACTGCACCATGTCTTCTCAGCAAGATAGGCTGCTGCAAGCATCTCATACCTCTCCTCTCTAAATTGGCTTCCCATAGAATACCAAATAAAGTTCAAGGCCTGATTTTCAAAGCATGACATGGCCTGAGCCCAGAATATCTAAAAGACCCCTTCAGCGCCAGGGAGAAGAGTGCTGACAACTTGCTCTTGTGGCTCTATAAATAACAGGGGTAAAACTTCATGCAAGAAACAGAACTTTACCAGTGTCCGGGTATGTCTACACTAGAAACTTAAATTGACCTATATTAGGTCAGTTTACAGTCACCACATTAATTACTGTGGTGGTGTATGTCCACACTACCCTCCTTGGTTCGGTGGTGTGCGCTCTCACAGGGAACGCTGCCACCAACCCAAGAGAGGCAGCGCAGGGTGCTGAGAGATCTCTTGGCTCTGCTGGCAGCTCCCTGGTTTCCGGGCAGGATCCCGGGTTCCGGGCAGGCTGCCTCCTCCCTCTGCTCCCTGTTCCTGGCCAGGAGCTGTGCAGCTGGGGCTTCTCCCTTCCCCATTCCATGCCAGGAGCTGGGGGAAGCCATCCAGGGCTTCTCCCCTCCCCATTCCCCACTGGGAGCCAGGGAAAGCCACCTGGGGCTTCTTGCCTTCGGGGAGTGGGCTCCCCATGCCTGGCTTCTTGCGCTTGGTCCTAGCTGGGAGCGGGGAAGGGTGGGGGGAAGCTGTGTGGGCTTCTTACCCTGGCTCCATTCTCTCCGGGCTTCCAGGGGAGCAGGGGGCAGCTGAGCTCTAGTTGCCTGGCTTTCTTGTTAGTTTCAGGGCTCCTGCCCTGAACTTGACAAGACAGCCAACAGCCAATGAAAGGGATGCAGTGTCTGCAGTGATACACCTAACTACACAGACATAAGTCTAATGCCTCTGGTGGCGGTGGATTTATGATGTTGGTGTAGTAGGCACTTACATCAGCGGGAGCAAGGCTGTCATGTAGACATAACTAGGTCGAGGCAAGCTGCCTGATGTGGACCTTGCTGTGTAGTGAAACCAACCCTAAGACAGTGGAATTAACTCCCCCAAGAACCATCACAAACCTCGCCACCTTCTGCTCCCTGGGCCAAGGCGTTTCTCTGACACCAATACCTAAGAATGTGGGTTAACACCTAACTAACCCCTCCCAAAACAAGCCACTGCACTGTGCCCACCTCTCCCCCAGGGTACAGGAGAGCGCAACCGCGGGCCGACAGATGTGCCTCCCGTCGCTTAATGCAGTAGCAGAAGGCGGCTGAGGTACCATGGCCAGGGAGAGGGACATGTTGGGGGGCGGGTTGTGGATGAAGGAGGTTGGGGGAGCCCAACAAAGGGCTGCCAGGAGCGGCGCAGGGACTGCTCTCCCGGGCCAGCGCTGTGGGATCGGGGCTGCAGCGGGCGGGGCGGTCCCTGGGCTCCGAGGGACGCTGCGCCTGCCGCGGGGACTGGGGGCCGCGCGAGACGCGGGCAGGCAGCGCGGCGGGCAGCCCAGCTCGCGCAGGAGGCGGCCGGGCTCCTCCCCCGGCCCGGCGAGCTCATGGCCTTGTGGGGAGCCCTGCGCGCCGCCGGCAGCCGGCTCAGGTCCGTGCGGCGGGGTCGGGGCCTCGCACCCACCTGAGTCCCCGGGGAAGGGCGGTCCTGGCCCCGCCCCCCCGTGCGGTCGCCCGCTTGCACCGTGCCCGCTGCGGACTGCCCCACTGTCACCGACCCCGTGGGGTCGCCGCCGAGCAGGGGGTGCGGCCCGCTCCCAGCCTCGCCGCCCATCGGGGCAGGGCAGGCCGTGCGCTGGTGCCGAGCCGCGCTCAGGATCCGCTCCCCTGGTGCTGGGCACTCCTAGCCCGGCAGGGAGCGAGCCAGGCCGGCTGAGCCTGCCAGCAGCTGGTCCGCCGGCTGCCGACCCCCCCACGGGGTCTGCCTGCCCCACGGCTCTCAGCAGCTCCGCCACATCTGGGCAGATAAAACAGCCGAGCCCAAGGCAAATGGGGGACATGCCCCCCCAACCGCCCGGGCATACCAGTACCGGTCTGGTCTCCTCTAGGACTAGGAGAGTTACACTGGTATAGTAAACTGGGGGAGGGAGATTGAGTGGTGTTGGTGTGTTAAGGATAAAGTTACACCGCTCTAATCCCTAGCACGCAAACTAGGACCACTGCAACTGCATCCTGGCTAGGGTGGGTTTGCCGCTTTAATTACACCAGCATAATTAAATAAGCAAAACATTCTAATGTAGATAATCCCTTCGTTAGGTGGCATTTTAAAAAGGAATGTTTCTGTAATTCACTTCAAACTAATGGCTGCCCTGCAATGCCAAACCCTGCAGAGACAAGATCTTGGGAAACCAGTGGGTTTCTGATGTATGATAGACTGAGTCAAGCTGTCTCTGTTCTGGGCACTTTGCCGATATGTAAAAATGGACAGTTTTTGCCTCCAAGAACTTTCAGTCTTGAACTAGACCTTAGTAATTAGAGTTTAAAGAAACCAACATATAATAGGTTGAGGGGAGTGAAGTTGTTTTGACAGAAATCCTTAGTATCATATTTAAAATAACCTGAGGAGAACCATAAAAATGAGTGTTTTTCAAAAAGAGGTTTTATACTTCTAACATTTTTGTTTTTAGAATGGGAAATAATCCATCTACTTCAATGGGATTGTCTAATGCTGCTACTGTGAACAAGATCCAGGTAAATAAAGGGGTCATTTATTATTCAGAAAGAATTATTATTTCTAGCCTTTGAAAAATGGATAGTAATTTACTAACTTTTTTTTCTAATCAGTACAAGGATTGTTTTTTTATGACATAAGTCTATAGAATCTGATCTGTAAACTTAGTCCAGTTAATAATGTATTATGCTTTTGAACTTCAGTTCTGCAATCTAATCCATGTGGGCAGACCCTTATACTTTCAGTGTCCTGTTTAAATCAGTTAAGTTCAGCACTGGTGTCATTATTGAAAGATGATGTTAGGGGAGGGCTAAACCCTGTTAAACCTATTAATTAAGCAATATCTCGGGTTTAGCTCCAGTAAAGTAATAGTCTTACATTTCTGGAAAGAACTTTATCCTTTTATCCACATTCATCTTTTGACTACACAGCCTATCAGACCTGCATCATTTTTACCTTTAGGTGACTTATCACAGCCATCTTACCCACAGCTCTGTTATATTTTTGGGGATACTTGGAAGGGTCCATGCTGTCATGCCAGACCCCTACAGTGTTCTGTTCCTGGGGGTTTGTCATACCTTGTGTATGGTCTGTCTTAAAATCTCTTTGGAAGTGTCTTCCTTGGACCACCCTTGCATTTTATCACCCAAACAATATAAAATTACACATGCACATTATGTTAAAAATACATTATTAAGGTTGCAAAATCAAGAACTCAAGTCAGGAAACATCAGAATTAAGGTAGCCTGCCCCTCTAACTGTTGAGTGTCTTTTGGAGGAGAATGCACTTTAGTGGTCCCTTGTGCCCATTACCCCCCCTCAAGTAGGGGCCCCTTCTCATCCATCTTTTACAATTTGTCCCTGTGCCAGTCCTCTCTCTTCCACGCTCCTGGCTTCTCATCCCTCGCCCTTTCTCCTCACCCACCCAGTCTCTACTCCTCAGGCTTCTCATCCAAGTTCTACTCTCCTTGTCCCACCAGTCCTAGTTTCCCCTCCAGCTCTTTGTGCTAGTCTTCTTGCCTTGCTTCATGGGTTATAAGGCCAGAAGGAGCCATTGTGAACAGTTAGAATGATCTCCAAATAACACAGGCCATAAAATATCCCTGAATTAAATTCTTGTTTGAACTTTTAGAAGGGTATCCAGTGATGGAGAAACTACCACAGCCCTTGGTAACTTGTTCCAGTGGTTAATTACCCTTGCTGTTAAAAATGTATGCCTCACAGAGGTAAAATAACACCTCTACTCATATTCACTATTCCTCTGATTCATCCAAGAATTGTATTAGCCCTTTTGGCCCCAGTGTCTCACTAGGTGCCAGAGTTGAGCGGATTATCCACCACCCCCAATCCTTTTCAGACTCTCCTCTTCCCAGGATAGAGTCCCCCGTACTGTAAGTACAGCCTACATTCTTTGTTTCTAGATATGAACTTCACATTTGGCCATTTCAAAACACACATTGTTTGCTTATGCCCAGCTTACAGAGTGATCATGATAGCTCTTTAACAGTGATCTATCCTCTTCATTATTTACCACTTCCCCAATCTTTGTGGCTCTTGCAAGCTTAATCAGTAATGATATTTTGTTTTCTTCCAGCTCATTGATAAAAAATGTTAAACAACATAGGGTCAAGAACTAATCCTTGTGGGACCCCACTGGAAACACCTATTTATAACTTTTGGTAGTTGTTACCATAATGAAAAGACAAAACATATTGCCTTTGTCAAAGTCTTTATCTGTAAGAATGTGATAAATTAATTAAGTAAATTAGTACCCATGTGCAGAATACATTGACTCAACCTTTTTTTTTTAAAAAAAAAAAAATACAGGAAACCATTTCGGACAACTGTGTAGTGATTTTCTCTAAAACAACATGCACCTACTGCAAAATGGCAAAGAAACTGTTCCAGGATATGAATGTAAATTACACAGCAATAGAACTAGACATGTATGAAAATGGAAGCCAGTTTCAAGACATTCTTCATCAAATGACTGGCGGCAGGACAGTGAGTACATCTTTTCAGCTGTAGTAACTAAAATAGATGGGGGCTAATTCACTGAAGCACTAGCTCACCAACTGTGACCTCATCAGATCTTGTGTGCTCGCTGCATTGAACCTTATACATGAGCTACTAAGTAACACACAAGGTGCTTCAGGAAGCTGTAGTAAAGATTCTGTAAGGTATCTCACATTCCTCATGGTACTGACATACCACTCCAAAGTTATGATAGTTACTGTACTGCTCCTCCTGCTGTCTTTCAGATGAGATTTTAAACAAAGGTCACATCAAAGACACAAAATTGAAATTCATCAGGAACGCTTTTTGCTTGGGTAAAAGTGTTAGCCCCAGTATCCTAGCAACTTTGGGAATTACATTCTGTCTTTGTAACAAGTCCCTGTAACTTCATTTGAATCAAGTGTTTTTTCACTGCATGTTCTAAACCCATGTGCAAATGATATATCTTACTTTTAAGGAGAAGGTGCAGTGATGCCTCTGTTTAATGTAAAGCATCTCGGGACCTCTTTTATAGAAAGTTATTATGGAAATGTAAGACTGTCCACTAATATGGTGCATCAAATAGGAATGCTAAGCTTTTATGTACGTGCTAAGTTTATGTGGCACTGTGGCAGCATGCATAATCACACTTGGTTTTTATCCTCCCTCCAACAAAATAACGAATGTAATTTTCATATACTTAACAGGTTCCAAGAGTGTTTATTAATGGGGCTTTTATCGGAGGTGCTACGGATACTCAAAGGCTTCACCAGCAAGGCAAGCTGCTTCCATTAGTTCATCAATGTCAAATGAGAAGAGCGAAAAATTCTGATCTGCCATGTGGCCTACCATAGCCTTAGTTACGAAAGTGCCCCTAATCTAGATGTTGGATACCTAATATCCATCTTTAGGCTTCTAAATAAATGGCCTGACTTTCAGAGGTGCTGAGAACCCACAAGGTCTAAAATTAGGCCATTTGTTTGGGGGCCTAACTCTGAATTTAGGTGCCAGTTGTTAAGCACCCAAACTTGAAAATGTAGGCCTATGTGTGCAGCATGGTCTACTAACCTAACTAGGGTTTGGAGCGAGTAAATCGTCAATTTGAAATCATTTATCTAACACAGACATTACGGCCTTGGGCAATACTTAAACCCTCCCTGCCTCAGCTTCACCGTTCATAAAATGGAAGTAAAAACAATTACCTACCTCACATAGCTTTTGTGTGGATTAGCTAATATTTTTGTTACAGTGCTTTGGAGACATAAAGGACATGTTTTAAATATGTTAAAGTGCTACACGAGGTTCTGTGAAATAGGTGACAAACACAACTAGTGAAAACTTGCACTGCTTATCACCTTCAAGACATTGTAGTATCCTATTGATTGTAATGTGAGTTGGTTTGCTAAACTTTCTAGCTAATTTTACTGTAATTGTGTTGGAACAAAAGATGACAGTGCAATTTAGTGTTTCCTATAGAATCAAGTCAGTGCTAAAGATTGATTCTTCTTTGTTCAATTACGTACACGGAAGACACTAAAAAGAACCAGTTAATGTTTATTTATATGAAGTCTGCAGTTACTGAGATTTTAATTACATTTCTGCAAATGTAAACGCTCTGTTATTAAAGACAGTATCATGGTAAGCTACAGTAGTTGAGTTTTTCTTACAGTTCTGTATATACTCTCAAGTAACAGTTGGAAACTTACTTTTTTAAGCATAATGTTAAGTTCTAATCACTTTGAGACACTTAACAACCAGTCTGTTCTGTTTCATTAATGTAGTTACTACATCTGCTGCGAACTCCCCTGCCAATTTTAGTAGTTTTACAATTATTCTCTGTTTTTTTTAAATGTGGTGAAGGTCCAACATACATGGTAAAAGTGAATCTGACTATATACAAATATATAAGGTAAACAAAGCTTTGTCTAATCGTTCAGGCACTGTAATGTTACATGTAACTATAGTAAGTAGATTTTATATAGAAATATGATGTTCTATGTCCATCTGTGTTCAATTGTCTGTATGCAATACATATGTACTTTTAAAAATATAAGTTACATACTGACTCAC